CAAACAATAACTCTGTTTTTAGAAAGTTTTTAATGACTGTTCGATCAGCAATTTTGAAGACTCCTTGCGGCTGTCCAGGGTGTTCTGTGAGACTTCTCCAGGTCAATGTGCACCTTTTATATCCATGCTCTGAGTTAGTAGGTTTCAGTTAGGATTGTTTTAGACACCAGTGATGTCATAGTCCTGGCTTTTGGTCCCCCTGCATGCTGTATGTCTCTTTCAGAGAAGTCACATTTATGTATCCACTTTCTGAATTCTGTGAACATGAAAGAGGTTCGGGGGACTTGACGACCGCTGTTGTCCCTTCTGATTTATGTAGCTCAGTCTCCTGGAGATTTTCAGCTGACAGTACCAAACCTGTTCCTGAGAAACTGAGAAAGGCCCTGGGTTAGGACAGAAACATACACAGAACTTCCTGGCAGAAGTTTAGGGCTACAGATCTGTGGCACTGATAGGATCCCAGCATCTTACAGCTGTCGGGATCAAAGAAAACAGCAAACTAAAGGCTGCTAGCAGCCCATGCTCATGGAGTGCCTCCTGCCTGAAATGGTATTCTGTAGGACTGGAGCTCATGGAGTGCCCCCTGCCTGAAATCGGTATTCTGTAGGACTGGAAGGAGGGGTGAGGAGGGCAGGGACTGGGAGCAGATTCAAAAGCTAAATGCAGGAACCCCCCCAAAGCTGTGTTCTCTCAGAACCAGCAAGGAGCCGCCTCAGGTGTGCAGATACTGACTGTCCAGATGTATCTAACTCACCTGGCGCTCTGTAAAGGGAGCATTTTCCTGAGTATTTCAAAAGCAGCATTGTCACTGATCATTGTTTCCTAAAAGAAAAAAAAAATTATAGCTTTAAAATATTTATCATGTTTGTTCTGTGTGTGTGAGTACATGTGGATGTATGATAGGTATATGTGTTAGATCCCCTGGAGCTGGAGTTACAGGTGGCTATCAGCCCTGATGTGGGTGCTGGGAAGTAAACTCAGGTACCCTGCAAGAACAATTACTCTTAACCACTGAACAATTGCTCCAGCCTTGTTTATTTTATTATTATTATTTTATTTTTTGGTTTTTTTGAGACAGGGTTTCTCCGTGTAACAGTCCTGGCTGTCCTGGAACTACCTTTGTAGCCCAGGCTGGCCTTGAACTCACTGAGCTCTGCCTGCCTCTGCCTCCCAAGTGCTGGGGTTAAAGGCATGCGCCACCACCGCTTGGCCTTATTCAATCTTTATAATGATAAACTGCTGGCAATATGAACCTACAAGCAATATAAGTATACACGGGTATACAAGCAGTGGTTGCTGACCCTCCCCCACCAATGCCTTCCCACAGTTCTTACATCTCTCCCCTTCCTCCCTTCTTCTCCTCTTTCCTGCTCTCCTCTCCCTTCTCTTTCTTCTCTCTCTGCTTCCCCATCTCTTACCTCCCTCTCAACCTCTCTCTCTCTCTCTCT